GTGCTAGGTCAAAGGGTGTGTGCAATTTAAGTTTTGACAGATACTGTGAAAATGACCCCAAAAGCTGCATTTTTTTAATTCCTATTGAAAACACATGCAGGGAGCCTGTTTCTCCAACCTTAACTCTGGATGTTGCTTTAAAATCTTCGCCAATAGGTAAAAAATGATGTTACCTTGTAAATCTTTGCCAAAAGTAAAATGGTCCAAAATTTGGCTTGAACTTTATTTTATCCAGGTGTACATCACAGTGATTCGGTATATTTATACATACTAGAATGATCCCCCCAATAACTCTAGTTACCACCTGCCACCATACAAAGTTGCTATAACTTTGTTATCATTGACTATATTCCGTATGCTGTACCTTATATCCCCATGACTTATTTATATAACTATTAAGTTTGTACCTCTTAATCCCCTTTACCTATTTTGCCTGTCCCCTAAGCCCTCCTTACTCTGGGAACTTATACTTTGTTTTCTGTATCTATGAATCTGTTTCTGTATTGTTAATTCATTTGTTTTGTTTTTTTTTTTTGTATTCCACATATAAGTGATATCATACAGTATGTGTCTTTCATTTATTTCACTTAGCATAATAGCTTCTAAGTCCACCCACAGTGCTGCAAATGGCAAGATGACATTCTCTTTTAGAGCTGAGTAATATGGCTGTGTGTGTATGTACACACCATATATATATATACATACCACATGTCACCGTATCTGTGTGTGTGTGTGTGTGTGTGTGTGTGTGTGTGTGTGTGTACACCACATCTTTGTCCATTCATCCATCAATAAACATTTAAGTTGCTTCCATATCTTGGCTATTGCAAATAATGCTGCCATGAACATGTATCTGTAGACAAATAACCCAGAAGCAGGACTGCTAGATTATATGGTATTTCTATTTTTAATCTTTTGAGAAATCTCCAGACTGTTTTCCATAGCAGTTGCACCAATTTACATTCCCACCAACAGTGTATGAGGGTTCCCTTGTCTCTACTTCCTCTACAATACTTGTTACTTTTTGTCTTTTTGATAACAGCTAATCTGAAAAGTATGAGGTAATATCTCATTGTGTGTATTCTGTTATTGCTAATGTTCATTTGCTTGTTTTGCTTGAAGCCAATGACTTAATTCTTTTTTCAAAAGCTTTTCTTTTAATCACCTGGTACTCATCAGGACAAAGGCACTCCTTAATCCCCATCAACTATTTCACACATCCCCACAACCCACATCCCTTCTGGAATCATCGGTTTTTTCTCTATAGGTAAGAGTCTGTTTCTAGGTTTGTCTCTCTCTTTCTTTTCTTGTTTTTTCTTTTTCTTTTTTGCCTTTGCTAGCTTGTTTTGTTATTTATTTATTTATAAATATATGTTTTTCTTAATTTACTTTTGAGAAAGAAAGAGACAGAGTGCAAACCAGGTAAGGGCAGAGAGACAAAGGGAGAGAGAGAATCCCAAGCAGGCTTTGCATCATCAGTGTAGAGCCTGACATGGGGCTCAAACTCAGGAACTGTGAGATCATGACCTGACTGAAATCAAGAGTTGCCCACTTAACCAACTGTAAGCCACCCAGGCAACCCTGTATTTTTTTTCCTCAAATTCTACATAATGGGTGAAATCACATAGTGTTTGTCTTTCTCTGACTTATTTCACTTAGCATTATTCTCTCTAGCTCCATCCATGTTGATGCAAATGGCTAAATTCCATTCTTTTTTATGTCCAAATAATACTCCATTCACATCTTCTTTATCCATTCATCAATTGATGGACATGAGTTGCTCCCATATCTTGACCATTATAAATAATACTGCTATAAACACTGGGGTGCATGTATCCCTTCGAACTATTGTTTTCGTATTCTTTGGCTAAGATAATCAGCAGTGTGATTGCTGGATTGTGGGGTAGTTCTGTTTTTAACTTTTGGAGAAAGCTCCATACTGTTTTCCACAGTGTTTGCACCAGCTTGCATTCCCACCAACAGTGCACATATGTTCTGTTTTCCCCCACATACTCACCAACACTTGTATCTTGTGTTTTTGATTTTAGTCATTCTGATAGGTATAAGGTGGTATCTCACTGCAGTTTTGATTTGCATTTCCCTGACATTAAGTGATGATGAGCATCTTTTCATATGCCTGTTGGCCATCTGTATGCCTTCTTTGGAAAAATGTCTATTCAAATCCTGAGCCCATTTTTTAAAAGGTTGTTTGTTTCTGTAACACTAAGTTGGGTAACTTCTTGATATATTTTAGATATTAACCTCTTATTGGATGCATGATTTACAGATATCTTCTCCCATTCAATAAGATGTCTTTTAGTTTCGTTGATGGTTTCTTTCACTATGCAAAAGCTTTTTTTTGTTTGATGTAATCCTATTTATTTATTTTAGCTTTGGTTGTCCTTGTCTGAGGAAACTGGTTCAAAAAAATACTAAGACTGTTGTCAAAGAGCTTATGGCCTATGTTTTCTTCTAGGAATTTTATGGTTTCAGGTTTTACATTCAAGTCTTAAATCCACTGTGAATTTACTTTGTATATGATATAAGATAGTGGCCCAGTTTCATTCTTTAGCATGGAGCTGTCCAGTTTTCCCAACACTATTTAATGAAGAGACCATCTTTTCCCCACTGTATATTCATGCCTCTTTTGTCCCAGATTAACTGGCCATAGATGCATGGGTTTATTTCTGGGCTCTATATTTTATTCTATTGATCTATGTGTCTGTTTTCATACCAGCATCACATTGCTTTGATTATTATAGTTTTGTAATATAGTTTGAAATCAGGGAGTGTGGTACCTCCAAGCTTTGTTCTTTTTCAAGATTGCTTTGGCTATTTGGGGTCCTTTGTGGTTCCATACATACTTTAGGATTTTTTGTTCTAGTTCTGTAAAAATGTCTTTGGTATTCTGATGAGGAGTTTACTGAAATGATGAATTACTTTCGGTAGGATCGACATTTTAACAATATAAATTCTTCCAGTCCATGAGCATGGTGTATCTTTTTGTTTATTTGTGTCATCTTCAATTGCTTTTACCAATGTCTTATAGTTTTCAGAATACAGGTCTTTCGATTCCTAGAATAAATTCATTCCTAGGTATTTTATTCTTTTTGATACCAATGTAAATGGGATTGCTTCCTTAATTTCTTTTTCTGACAGTTTGCTATTAGTGTATAGAAATACAATGAATTTCTGTATCCTAATTTCATATCCACTGATTTTACTCAATTCATTTATTAGGTCTAAGTTTTTTGGTGAAGTTTTTAGGGTTTTCTATACATAACATCCTGTCATCTGTAAATATTTTCACTTAATCCTTTCAAATTTGGATGACTTCTATTTCTTTTTCTTCCCTGACTACTGTGGCTAGGGCTTCCTGTACTATGATGAATAAAAGTGGCAAGAATGGGCATTCTTGTCTTGTTCCCATCGTAGAAGAAAAGCTTTAAGCTTTTCAAAGTTGAGTATGTTGTTAGCAGTGGGTTTGTCATATGTAACCTTTATTATGTTAGGGTACATTCCTTCTATACTCACTTTGTTGAGAATTTTTAATCACAAATGGATGTTGAATTTTGCCAAATGCTTTTTTGGCATCTATTGAGATGATCATATGATTTTTATCCTTTTTGTTACTGTGGTGTATCATGTGGATTGATTTGCATATATAGAACCATCTTTGTATTCCATTTGATCACGGTGCATGATTCTTTTAAGGTACTGTTGAATTCAGTTTGCTAATATTTTGTTAAGGATTTTTTTCATTTATGTTCATTATGGACCGTGGCCTATAATTTTTATATTTAGGGTGTTTCTGGTTTGGGTAGAAGGGTAATGCTGGCCTTGTAAAGTAAGTTTGGTTGCATTCATTCCTCTTCAATTTTTTGGAATAATTTGAGGAGGACAGATACTAACTCTTGTTAAAATGTTTGATAGAATTTATTTGTGAAGCTGTTTGGTCCTGGACTTTCATTTCTGGAGAATTTTAAAGTTACTGATTCCATTTCATTACTTGTAATCAGTCCACTTAGATTTTTAATTTCTTTCTGATTCAGTCTTAGAAGGTTGTGTGTTTCTTGGAATCCATTTCTTTCAGGTTTCCCAATTTCCTGGAGTATAGCTGTTTGTAGGCTCCAACTTTAATTTTACTTTCTTTATGCTAAGTATTTCTCTATAATTTCTTTGTCTTAAGAATTTGCCATGACTACTGAAGAGAGGCCAGGTAAACAATATAAATAGAACAGTCCTATTTATGACAGAATGAGACAACCTAAAAACATAACTTTGCTTTAGTATGAAAAAACTTATTGCAAAATGACAGTAATTTAATATTCATTAGTATTTTACTTGCTTTTTCTCTTTTTCTACATAAAATCTACCTACCAAAAAAGTTAGTTTCATTATCTCTTTCTCACAATTCAGGAGTATTTAAAAGAAGATTATGAATATACCTTTGTACACTTCGATGAGTATATGAGTAAGATTCCAAAGTTTTAAAAGTGGATTTGCTAGGCCAAAGATAATGTGCAGTTATGATATTGATAAATACAGCCATACCAGCCTCCAAAAACTTTTTATCATTTCTGTTCCTACCAAAAGTGCATCAAGTAGAACATGGAGGTGTCTTTCACATTTCTAATTATTTTCCTCATTCCCTACTTCTTTAAGTGAGATGTCTCAATCTCCATAATTAACAATGTAGAAGTTGTGAGATATGGATAATTATTTACTAAAGCAAGTATAAATTATTAAAGCAGAAGATCTTAAAATAAATTTGGTGCACTTTTATTTGACTAATTATATTTATTCATTTGATACAAAACTGATAACCTGATTAGATGGAAGATACTAATAGAAATAATTTCTCAAACTTTCTGGCTCTATTCATCTATATAAATATTTCATAATAGAAGCTGACATATTTTGAAACCCATAAGTAAAAGGTACTATAAAAGTAAATACTATTACTAAACAAAAGAAAAAAATTAAATTTCAATACTTACAATCATCTAGATCTAGAAGTGAAACATCTTTGGTAAGAGGATTTTTATCTTGCTTTGTTTTTTTTTCTTTTTCCTATAAAATAAGAAATATTTAATTTACTGCACATTCTTATAAAAAAATCAATGAAGTAGTTCTTAATGTTTCAAAACAAACAATTTTTCCTCCGCTTAGTGTTCCAAGAAAAAATAAATCAAATTAAGCTTTCTTTATGGTTATATGGACTGTGTTTTTGAGTCAAAATTTTTATTTCAGTTAGCAAACAGTATTTCTTCTCTACCATGCAAACTATTACTTTACAATATTCTGTTTAAAGATTATAAAGGTCCAAAAAATAAATAACAAATAAATAAATAACGATTATAAAAGTCCATCAGAAGAAAATTTGAAGGTAAATAATTATTTTACAATCTGACAACTTTTGCTAATATAAAATTATAAAGTAGCTCTTAGGTAAAAAGTCTACAAACATGTTGAAAATAATTTTTAAAGAAGTTAATTTAAGAAAAAGAATTGCTCAAACAATATAAGCTTAGGTCTAAAATTGTCAAGAGGCTTTGGATAGATTAGCTTTCTTAAGATGTAGTCTCTGACAGGCATTGTACTAGGTACTTTGTACTGCAACAGTAAGTTGCATCAGACTTCTTCAGCCAAAGGTATTCATTAAAATCTACAAATGACATTTTCAGACTCTTGCTCTTTAGGGATGAAAAGTTTTCATTTACTTTCTTTACTGTTTTCCTTTGGGGAGAATAAGTATTTCAAAACACATCTGCACATATTTAGGGGTTTCTCCACCTTAGATCTGCTTATTTAATCTATATTTTTGAAATATGAATAACTGAATTAGAAAACAGCATCTCTAAGCCCAAGGTATTCAGTTTGGTCAGAGACTCAGAAAGGATGTGTTATGCGTGTGTGTGTGTGTGTGTGTATTATATATATATATTATTTGTACCATATATATTTATTTGCTGCACAAATTAAGTGCAGCAATGAGTAGCATTATTAAAGACCAATAAAGATTAGGTTGCTAAACAGAAATATTTGGATCAAAGTTACTTATCTTTATAATCTATACTTTTTACATTAAATCTTCTCAAATTAAAACTTAAGTTTTTGCTAAAATGTTTTTGTTCATTTATCTAAATGAACAAAATACATTCATTCATCCAAAAGACATGTAGAGAGTTTTAAACACATATCAGATTCTGTGCTAAGCAAAGGAAGAAAGTAGCCAAGACAGACATAGTTCTTACCTTCAGGTAACTTACAATCTTTTTTTTTTTTTTAATTACTACTTTTCTTTTCTTTTTTTTAGTTTATTTATTTATTTTGAGAGAGAGAGAGAGAGAGAGCGAGTGGACAAGTGGGGAGGGGTAGAGGAGGAGAGACAATCCCAAGCAGGCTCCGCACCATCAGCACATAGCCTGCCATGGGGCTTGAACTCATGAACTGCAAGATCATGATCTGAGTCGAAACCAAGAGCTGGATGCTCAACCAACTGCACCACTCAGGTGCCCCCAGGTAACTTATAATCTAACAGAAGAGTTTACAATTTATCTATACAAATTATAACAAGTTTTTTGTTTTGTTTTGTTTTGTTTTGAGAGAGAGAGAGAGAGTGTGTGTGAGTAGCGCAGGAGCAGAGGAGAGGGAGAGACAGAATCTTAAGCTGAGTATGGAGCCCTATGCAGAGCTAGATCTCACAACTGTGCAATCACGACCTGGGCCGAAACCATGAGTGAGCCACCTAACCGAGTGAGCCACCCAGGTGCCTCTACAAATTTTTTGAAGTATTCCTCTAACCATAGAAAGGTATCACTAAAGCAAAAGGTACACTACCATCATTTAATGTCTACACCATGTTAGAGTTCTTACAACAGTGCAAACACACAAGTAAGAGCAATACATCAAATTACATGTTAGGTAACATTTTTTTTTTAATGTTTTTATTTATTTCTAGGAGAGAGAGAGAGAGAGACAGTGTGAGCAGGGGAGGGTCAGAGAGAGAGGGAGTCACAGACTGAAACAGGCTCCAGGCTCTGAGCTGGCAGTCAGCACAGAGCCCGACGTGGGGCTCGAACCCACGAACCGCGAGATCATGACCTAAGCGAAAGTCGGACGCTTAACCGATTAAGCCACCCAGGCACCCCTGTTAGGTAACATTTTAAAATAATCTTAAGTAATGCTAGTTTTTTCCTTATGCCAAAACTCAAAACAAATTATCTTCAAGTACCAGACAAGAATACACATTAAAACACTAGCTAAAAACATCAGCACTGATTTTCTTTATGAGAATAATCATTTCTGCCACTGAAAATTTCACATTATCTAGATGGGTTTTAATTTTCACTCACTATTTTTTTAAAAAGCATACAATATTTGCCCCTCTCTCCACACCTCAAATGAATAACAATTTCTAAGACTGTGGGGGAAAGTAAAAGAAATGTTAGTTTTGAAGCTGGAATTTAACAGTGGCAATAAACAAAAACAGGTTCAGAATGAAAATGCCATCTCAACTAGAATATCCTGTGGAGAAAGAACATAACAAAAAGAGCTTAACACCATGTGACTTATCAAAACACTATGCCGAGTACAATGGGTATAGCTTCCTATAAGCCTCGATGGTGCATGACTGTCTTTATGGAACTGTAACCTTCCCACCTGAAAAATTAGAAATCTATCAAATCAAGATAAAGTTAAAGCTGGAAACAAGTCTATACCTTATTTTCTACTTCACAGCAAAGAGTGTGTAACAATATCTATTAAATACACATCAGGTCACATACAACATAGGACAGAGCTGCATGTGAAATTGACATAATCTCTTATTAGAAGTCTAAAACAGGAAGAAAAAAGGCTCTCAAAGGGACAGAATTTCATTGACTTTCTGAGAACAGCAAATAACCGGTGACTGAAATACAACATTAGCAATAGATAACGGTCATTTCTACTGAATTGAAAAAGCCTTGCATTCCAAATCAAGGCTATAAAAAGCTTCGTGATGTGTTTGGCATTCCTCTCTTATATTATATTTCATTTTTCATTTTAAAAAATCCATAGTAAGTTCAAAACATTTTCATACTTAAAGGATCTACTATAAAAATAAAAATCTGAATTCTAAACAAAGAAGTTAAGAGCCCTATTCCATCAAACATTTCTCCATTTGCAATTCATCTTGGTAATAGAGACAGAACCTGGGTAAATGCATATAGGACTTGAGGCAGGAGATTTTTCTTGCTCAATGCATAATTCATGTGCTCCGCCTGCAAAGTGTGTAAAATGAGAATTTCACACCGCAGCATGAGCCATGGAGCTGCAGAGAAAAGGCAGATGAAATCATATTTTACTGTGTGAATTTTGTTTCTTACCCTCCCAATATTTATACAAAACCATCATTGACAAACCAAACACACTGACAGATCACCCACTGTTTCCATTGTGTTAGTACTTGAGAAGAGATCAGGCAGAAAGATAGACAATTTGTTTTTGTATATTTTTTTAAATAGAGGATTAGGTTTTTAACAGCTGAGTGACTGTATTAGACTTTTATAAGGACAACAGTAACTGATCTTAAAATCTCACTACAAAAATACCTAGTTATCAATTCATCACCCTCAAATCTCCATTTTGTTCCTATGGTATTCGATTATACACCTCAACACATCAACATTTTCAAAATAAAATACAAAGTCACAGGGTTAAGAAACTGATTTCTACTTATTTCATTTCAAGTAATAAATAAAAGATCCTGGAAATACTTATTAAGCTCCAAATAATACAAATAAAAATATATAATAATATATCTGTAAAGATCTTTTTAATGTATTATGCATGTTCATTTCATGCTGATTAAAAAACAAAAAGCAAGGAGAAAAAAGATCTGAAACAACAAGCACCAGGTATACTTCCTAAGAGGAAAACACTGTAAAGAAGATTGAAATTTAAAATTATAAAACAAGGTAAGTGGTATATAAAGTTTGTTAAACTCATATTGTACTTTGAAATCAACAAAAATTCAAGGCTAATTTCTAGCCTCACAGGGCAAGATATTTGCATGAAGTATTTTCAATTAGAATTACCAACCAAGGACAATACAATGACTCTCTTGCCTTCAAGTCATCTAACAAATCTGATTTAAAAATTCTGAGGCTCACACTTACACTGGGCTTTAAAACAAAAGTACACTGCCAGTAAGTTAAGCCTTCTACATACGTCAAAAGAAGTCTATACTGTTAAACAAATCTTCAAATATTAGGTTATACTTTCTTCAATAAGAAAACTTAATGGCCTTCACTTTGATTTAAATATTTCAGGTAAAGTGAAATGATATTTCTGTTCTGAAGAACTTAAAACATAAACTAAACTGGGAAAAATATAAATTGAAAGAGGCAAGGCTTTGAAATGTTCCATAATATTGTACAATACTCACAGAAGTTATGTAATTGCTACATACATAAGCACTTGTAAAAACACAAGTAAAACTTGTTTTCTATTTCTCAAATAGGGCAGAAAACCAATCAGAAAATAGTTTCTCTCTTATCCACGATCTGTTTCATAGCACATGCCAGTTTTACTTCATTCCCAAGAATCTTTCACATGGTAGATCTTTTTCTAAGGCATATCTTAACATTTACTAATGTCTGGATGGATAGTAGTCATAGCAGCACTGGCTGGTCTATAGAGCACTTAATTTAATCCTTCCCAAAAACAGACTAGCAAAGTTTTATGAGATCCACGTAACCTGTAATAAAGATAACTGACAGCATCTTACACAATGCTATGTATATATAGATAGTATCGTTGTTCTTCACTGTTAGTATATATATTAATCTCAATTTTGTCTAAGATAATTTTCAAATATGAAAAGCTCTTAATATGGAATGTTAAGTGCAAGTATGTTACATATACTTAATTCCACTGATAAATTACGTTCTAAAAAAAATTACGTTCTATACAGCTTACACAATTAAAATGTTGTTAATATTTGCAAAGAAAACAAACAGAAGTTAAACACAATAAATTATAATAATTTAAAATATTTATCATTAAAAAATAAAAGTTTTTTCATT